ATTGAAGATAAGGAATATGAGGCTCATAAAGGTTAAGTGATTTGCCTTAAACAAAAAGAAATAGATGATAGATAGATAGATTAGATAGATAGATAGATGATGATAGATAGATAGACAGATAGATAGATGGTCTTTTTAAAAAACAGACTGAAAAAAGATACATGCTTACTATTTAAAAGTTATCTAAGCCATAAAAAAGAATACAAGAAAAATGCTACCAATCCCTCAAAATCTTGCCACCCAGAAAAAGTCAATGTTAACATTTGATAAGCATAAAGCCCAGAGAGAGACAGAGAGAGAGAGAGGTGTAGAAAGAGAGCCAGACAGGTAGAAAAATTACATAAGATTGAGGCATACTATAGAAGCTATTTTTTTAACCAAAAGTACAAAGTATACTTTTACTTGAATTTAACAGAGGGAAAACAAGCTAAAGTAAAAATGAAGGAATAGCGAACTTCAGCTAAATAATTCTCCACCTCAAAAAATATTCATCCCTCAAAGATCCCTCTCAGGTTAAGGAAAATGATTTTGATTGAGATTGGAGCAGGATTTTTCCCATTATGTTTCTGGTTTATCTGCTAATAGTTGCTCTGAACCACGAAAGAAAATGTGATTAGTGCTTCTGTCCTCCTTCCCACCCCTTCTCTGCCCTCCAGATTATGTTGTCAGTGTTGTTTTTACTTTATGAGGATTTATAATGTTTAATTCTGTTCTGTAACTAAAATTCCCACACTTTAATCTTAACCTAAAGGGAATGAAGGTTCACCACCAGTCCTTTTAACATAAATCCCCCTTCCTCCGCTCCTTATTTTGATTCATCTCTTGGCTGACTAGATTTTATCCTTGAGTAGTTTTTTCTAGAAGGGCTCATGAGTTCTGTAGCCCCAAATTCACGATTGAGATCAAGCATTTTGTTGGTTATGTTTGGGGTCACCATTTTCTACCCTCAGAACTTGGTAGACACTGCTTCAATATCTTTGTTTGTCAAACGTTCCTTGGAGAAATCTGAGATCAGACTGAATTTTCCCCTGTACGTGACTTACTTTTTCTGCTTAGGTTCCTAAAATATTTTTATTTTATCCTCAAAGTTTGGCAACTAACTCAGTGTGTCTTACTGTCAATTATTCTGTATCGATTTCTCTGGTTTATGGTGTGTACTTTCAATCTGAATATTCAGTTCTCCCTTCGTTTCAGGGAAAGCTTTTCTGCATTTCATATCTTAATATCTCTTTCTGTTCCATTTTTGGAAGCGCTACTTTAGGGCTGCCAACAATTATGCTTATGGTGGCTTGTCTTTGTCCTGTCTATTAACTTCACTCTAATTGCTTTAACGTCTTTACCTTCTCCCTTCACCTGTGCTTTCAATATCTCCAGCCTTTCCTACACATTACTTTGATTTTCAGCCACGTCTATTCTGTTTTGCTGTTTCTGATTTATTACATCTATAATGGTATTATTCTTGTCCTTTATCATTTTTCCTTAGTTCTGTAATCTCCCTTTTCCTCTCATCCTGTTGTTTTATCATCTTGCCTTTGAGTTCTTGTTCTATTGATTTCATACTATTTTTAAAGCTTCTATAACAGGAAGAACTTGCCAGGAATCTGCTTTAATTCCTTTGGTTGTGTTTTCTTCTAGATTGGGTTCTTCATCTATTTTTTGCATCCTGTCTTCCTTGTTCCTTTCCCTCCCACCTCCCTCCCTTTCTTTCCTTCCTACCTATATTCGCTATGGTCTGTATGTCTAAAGACCATGCCATTTCCTTCCCTCTTCCAACACCTCCCATGCTCTGGAGTGTAGGTCCTTGAACCCCTTCCCTTCTCTTCTGAACCAGTTTCTCTTCCCCTGGGAGATATGGTTTGAAAGCTGGCTATTGCTTTCAAACTCACCCACCCCATTTCTGTGGCCCAACAGTAGCTTGGCTGGGCCTGCCTGCTGACCTTGATGGGGCCTGAGCGCTGTCTATCGTCTGAGGCCCTATTAGGGATCTTGTTCCAGCATGGGGGTGGCGCACATCCCATCCTGTAGGCTTTGGCTTGTCCCCTCAACCTTGGCCCTATACCTTGGAAGATGCCAAGCCACGGCAGCAATTCTTGTCTCTCCTGAGGTCTCATGGAGGAACATACGGGCTTCTATTTACAAAGGTTTTTTTCCCAGACTTTTCCTAAGTCTACCTACTCACTCAATAGCCTACTTCTCTCAAATTACAAGATATTAGTGAGAATTCTTGGTGTTGTTGACTCACCTTTTCTCAATGCTACTTTTGGACATGGGGTTAGGAGACATACCACTCACTCACTGCACCAGAATCTTCTGTTACTTTCCTTGGCTATCACATTTTAAGGCTTATAAATAGAATTTCCTTGTGTGGTTGGACTTGATTTTGTAGCAGCATTTTTGTGTCAGTTTGTTTTGGCTTTTGTTCATTTTGTAAGTAGGAGTTAGAGGGTAGGAGTGGGTGGAGGGATTCTGTGACGGCTTCTCTTTGCCTTCCTAACCCAGAGATCCCCAGCCTTGCCTTGTCCATACCGCTCCCCTCAGACCCCTCCTCTGGGCAAGACCCTGGGAGCCCCCAGCCCCCAGCACTTTCAAGTCCCTGGGATGAGACAGGAGCTCACAGGACTAGACCTCAGCACATAGTGGGTCTTCAGTTCATGGTAAAGAGGGAATGAGCAGGGAGTGTTTCATGGAGGCAGCAGCAGAGGGACCTCAAATGCTCCCCAGGAGAACCTCAGGCAGGGTGTAGCATGAACAAAGGCATGGAAGCAGGAGAGAGAGGAACAATGAGCGGGGAGCGGTGTGGGCTGGGGGTGTCCAGCTGGAGGATTGAAGGGAGCAGGAGGAGAGAGGCTGGAGAGGAGGGCAGGCAGGGCCTAGGTGTGCAGCCTGGCCTGGGGGCTGCCGTGTGTGTAACCAAGCACTTAGCCCTTGAGTCTGGACTCAGGGAGTACTATGGTGGGCAGGGGCAGGTAGGGAAGCTGGTTCCTGTCTCTCCTCCCCAGCCCAGCCCCTCCCAGGGAAGCTTCTCTGACTGCTCCTCTGTCACCACCTCCCTGTCCTGGTGCCCCAAGGTGCTCCTGCTCTCTTCCCTAGAGCCACAGGTAAGGCCTGGGCCATGGCCACACTAGGCTCACTCTCTACCACAGGCTACACGCTAGCACAGCACAGATGTGCCCCTGGCCACCTAGTCATGCAGAAACAGAACTGCACAGCTGTACACCATCACCACCAACTCGCACATGATGGCACAGTGACACACCCTGTTGCGGGCACACTTTGCACACAGCCCCATACTATCTGGTTCCCTCTCTGGGGCCTTTGCCTTTGATTCTCCTGAGAGCTTGCCCTGCCCCCTGGTGGCTACTCCCCAAGCCACTGCCCTTCTGGAAGGACCCTAACTATCCACCTGCTTCCTGGCCTGGTTCCTGCCCAAAGAAGCTTCTAGCCTAACAGCCTTTCCCCTCAGACTAGCGCTGTCAGACTAGGTCCCCACAGATTCACTCCACAGATGGACCTCTGCCATCAGACCAGCACTGTGGAGCAAGGCCTTCTTGAGAAGAGTGACTGGCCGTCCCTGTTTGCCTAGGTCTGAGAAGTTTCCCAGGACTTGAGATATTCAGTGCTAGAACTAGAAAAGTCACAGGCAAACCAGGACTAGTTGGTGATCCTAGTCTCAGACCCTTCAGGGTAGTCTCTCCTCAGACGGTACCCTCTGACACTCTCTAGATCGGCCTCCCCTCCTCCAAACTAGATGTCTTCAATAGCATGTCACAGACCAGCCTCTCCTCAGAGTAATCCTGTCACACAGGCCCTCTCAGACCCACTCCCCTTCAGATTAGCCTTCCCCATGTGAGTGACACTGTCAGATAAGGTCCCCTCCAGCCTCTCTCCTCAGACTGGCTCCATCAGACTCCCTTCCTCAGACCTCCTTCCCCTCCACCCTCCCCTGAGGACAGGGAAGGATGTGAGGATTACACCCCAATCCTTCCTGCATCCCCAGACAGGTGCCACCACCCGAGGGTCATCTCTCTACCTGGCCAGGTCCAACAGCTCTGGGCATGTAGGCCTCAAGACATAAAGACACACAGGTGCAGGGTGCAGAGGTAGGGTTTGGAGCCAAGCATTTGGATAGACTTCCTCAGAGTCCCGGCCTAGGGAGGGAGTGAGCTCACCGGCTCTGGGGTGTTCTCAGGGCTGGAAGCTGCCCGGGAGGAATTCCTGCCTAGCGTATCCCGACCACTTCCCTCTCCTGGCTGGCTGCTGGAAGGCAGATGTGGGTTGTGTGTGCCGACAGCTGCCTGCCCGGGAGCAGGAATGAAGGGCAGGCAGGCGGCCGAGAGGGGGCAGCAGAAGCCAGGACAGCCCCCAGCTCAGGCCAGAGAGGCACAGCGACCACAGGCTGGGGTCTGGACCAGGGCAAGAACACACAGAAGGAGGCAAGAGAAGGAAGGACTGAGAGAGTCAGGGAAGATGAACAGACACAGAAATAGGGATGGAGAATCACACAGAGAGAGACACAGAGACTCCAAGATGGGGACAGACACACAGAGACAGACAGGGAGGAAGGTAGAACAAGGGAAGACTGAGAGAAAGGGAGAAGGGACAGAGAGGCAAGGACAAGGATGGAGACAGAGAAAGATGGCTAGAGAGACAAAGAAGGTAACAGAGACAGGAGATGGAGACATACAGAGAGACTGAGATGGGACAGACACACGCAGAGAGAAACACAGAGAGGGACCAGGACAAAGACACAGTTCAGAGTTGGGAATGGGACAGAGACAGACAGAGACGGGATGGGTTCAGGAGAAGAGGACGGGGGTGTTGTAGGAATGGGGCATGGGGGGTTCCCATCCCCAATGCACCTTGGGGAGCAATGAGAACTGTGTGCTGAGAGGCTGAGCTGTGTGCACGCTGGCCCCCTCCCCTGGTGGCCCCCTCAGCAGTGTCTTAATTCTCTGGGTTCTGATTTAGCTCCAAGAACTGACGTCTATACTTATCCCTAGCTCCTCAGAACCACCGTGGGAAATAACGGATGTGAAGTGACAGCATTTGGAGGCAGCAGCAGACAGCAGCCAAGACCTTCCAAGGTGAGCAGCCTCTGTGAGGTCAAGGGCCAGGACCCCCCAGGAGGGATGACCATCCCCAGGCTCAGTCCAGTCAGAGGCAACGACACTGCCCCTCTAGCCACCTCCGGGCTTGGGACAGGGCTGGGTCTCTCCTGGGGTTGGGGCAGGAAGACGCCCCAGTTCTCCTCTCTATCGGCCTCTGAGGCTCCAGGAGCCCTTCTCCCCTCCTTCTCCTCCCCAGGCCCCACATAATTGCTTTCCCATGTTGCTAATGGAGGCCAGATTGCTGATGCCCAAGCCTGGGTGGGCGGCGGGTGGGTCAGGGCTGACCAAGGCTCTCAAGGCAGGAAGGCAGCACAGGACAGAGACCCCTTGTAACTTCAGACCCCTTACCACAGGGACAGGGAAGGAGGAGGCTCAGCTCCATCCCACAACATTGTATTCCTGAGGGTTAATGACTCCCTGCTCCCTCCCCTGCTGCTGGACCTGAAGGACAGGTTCAGGCCCAGCCGCACCTCATAGGGACCAGACAGGCAGACGTGGGGGCCCAGGGCACAGAGGTTGGTCCACGGCCATTTCTCAGGCCGTCCACCCTGGGAGCCTCTCCCTGTGAGCAGGAGCCATGCACTCCCATCGTTGGGGCCATTTGGCTTGAAGAGCCACAGGCCTCTCTCCTCTGACACCAGGGCTTTGCTTTCCAGGGGGTCTCGTACCTGGAACACCCTTCTCCTCCTCTAGCGCCTGGCCTGGAGAGCCTGCCACATTCACGCTGAGCCCCTCACCCTGCTGAGTCCCGAGAGCCCTGACTCATCAGTGCTCAAGGCACCGTGAACCCCTCTTCCCAGGGTGTGATCCCAGGGGAGGCTGGGGAGACCAGCAAGGACTGTCCACTTCCTGACCCTGGTCTGAGGAAAAAGGTTTGACCTGGGGTGTGCGTGTGAAATCAGGGGATCAGTGACTCCGTGGAGGTGTGAGGCTCAGTCCCCACAGGGGGAGTGTGTGCGTGGGTCACTGCGTTCAAGGCTTTGACTCCACTTCTCTCTTCTTGTTCCAGCCACCCAGAGCAAGGCCAAGCCCAGCTCCCCAGGTTGGGGCTCTGGTCTAACCCTTTGCCCCTACCCCCAGGCCAGAGGTACCTGCCAACTCGGCCCCAGCCCCCAGCATTGTCAGCTAAGGAGCCGCAGTGAGTGGCTTCCACAAGGGGGCTGGACCTGAGGAGGCCTGAGGCAGCCAGGGGGTCCCTCCTCTGAGGAGAAATGAGAGAGACCGTGGGGACTGGAGGGCTGTGGCTGGGTGTGGAGCTGGACCAAGGACTGGCATCCTGTAAAACTTTAGCCTGCTCACCCCTGCTCACGCCATCCTGACCAGGGTGAGGCTGGCACTGCACACTTCCAGTCCTCAAGCACAGGTGCCATCCCTAGTCGCACTCCAAAGGGCCTCCTTCAGGCAGCCTCCCTGCCTGCCCAGGCCCGGGATGCTCTGCTCTTTGAGCCCTGTGGCCTGGCTGATCCCCAGGCCTGACCTGCTAGAACCCCTAGACTGTGTCTCCTGGATGGCAGGGATGACAACCCCCAGCCTCCTCCCAAAGCATGAAACCGGGTCTCTTCAGCTTCTTGTATCTCTGCCCCTGTGGGTAAAGCCCAGGCCTGGGCCCACGTGGAAGGCAGCTCAGACGACCCTTGACAGACCTCTGCCCTGCCAGGATTGAGCAGTTTCCAGGACTGACTGGACACCCCCATGTGGGACCTGTCTCACTGGGACCTCTCATTCCCAACTCTGTCCCCGGCCTCCAGGGAGCCCTACCCCCAAAGAAGCAGAAAGCCCAGACACTCCCTGGGGGCTGAGTTGCCTCTCCCCCCTCCATGGAGAGAGTTGTCTCTCTCCAGCTAGAATGTCCTCCCTCCCCCAGGCCTGGAAGGGGAGTGATCCTTGGAAGAGGGATGCCCTCCCAAAGTGGGTCTGTTCCAAGGACTCATGAAATGGTGGCGTTTAATGAGAACCCCCCACCCCCCTTCCCTGTATATACATCTATAAAAAATTCAAATACAGCAAGTTACCATGGAGTCAGACTAGAAGGGACTGACAGGGCATTAAATACTGTGGGGTAGGAGCAGGGAAGGGGGGTTGTACAAAAGAGGGGTGGGGGGGACTGAAAAGTGTGAGCGCTGGAGGGAGGGTGATGGCTGGGCCCCCCCAGCGTCAGGAGCTTATAATCTGATGGTGGCAACAGAGACCCTGGGACAGACAGGAGGCTGGGGCAGGAGGAGAAACTGTGGAGGTGAGGGGCTCCCCTCAGGCCCCCCAAGGGCTCCTGGGAGTCGCTGGCATTGGAGGGTCCAGCCCGAGGGGGCAGGGCGGGGGTGGGGTGTCTTTGGTGGGTGGGTTAGCTGCATGGCCCTCCTCCCATGAGGGAGGGAGGAGGGCCGGTGTGGTGTGGTGGGGCTAGGGTGCGGCAGGCCCGGGCCCGCCGGGGTCTCTACAAATTGTGTCTGAGGAGAATGCAGAAGGTCCTCCTGCCCGTGTGCAAAATAGAACCCGGGGTCTGCGGGCTCAGCTCCGGCCTCCTGCTCCTCTGCAGGTGCGCTGGCATGTCCTCACGGGCTGCCGGGCTCTGGGGAGACAGGGCAGGGGCTGTGAGGGATGACGGTCCCCTTAGGCTCCCCTCAGCCACCCAGCCTCACTCGACCTACCAGATCAGGAGACTGTTGGCAGTGGTGGCAGCAGCAGCTAGGGCCACAGTGACAGGGACACTGATCAAGAAGGGTGCCGAGGGCCCTCCCCCGCTGCCCAGCTCCCCGGGGTCACAGATCTTCGTGGTGGGCGGGGGCGCCAGTGAGCTGGTGGTGCTGGTCGTGGTCTCTGGGGAACAGTGGGGAAACTCAGGGCAGGGCCAGGGCTGGAGTCCCACCCAGATCTGGGGGTCCTGAGGCACACCGTCCTGCTTCCCATGCCAGACCAGTGTGGCCTCCCCACCCAGACGGCCCCTGCCTCCTCTCCGCCGTGCCCTGCCTCATCCATCAGGCAGATCCTGCTTCCCCAAGGCTCACAGATGACCCCTCCATCCAATGGCCCCTACCAACAATGTCCAGATAGCAGGGACCAGGAACAGCAGGGGCTGGACAGGCCAAAGGGAATGTGGCAGCCACACAGAGTATGGAGACCCCTGGGGCAAAGGCTCCAAGTCCCGGGAGGAGTTGGAAGGAGCAGGATAGAGCCAGGCAACAGTGCAGGGGCGGGCTCACCCGGGGCCTGGGCCTCAGTGGTGAGGTGTCGTGGCTCCTCAGTCCAGGGTGTGGCATGGGCGGCCACGCTCCAGTCACTCCACGTCCCGATCTCATTGTCCTTGGCCGCCACCTGGATGATGTACTCCTTCCCAGCGTAGGCATCTGTGATGGTGTGTGCTGTGCCATCGGACAGTTCCACCTGCAGCCGGACCACAGGAGAGGGGGTCTGGGGGTCAGGAGAGTGAAGCACCCCCAGAAGAAATGAGAACGCTTCTGGAGAGAGAACAGTGAAGACACCCCTGGAGGAAACGAGGACTTCTCTAGGGGAGAGAGGGGCCACTGAGAAGACTCCTGTGGGAGAGTGAAGACGTCTCAGGGAGGAGACCCCGAGGGAGGGAAGATGGTCCTGCAGGAGGGTAAGGAAATCTTTAAGGAGACTGGAAGCATGCCTCTGGGAGAATAAGGAGGACTTTTCTTAGGGTCTTGACTCTGCTTTCATCCCTACTCTCTCACAACCCCCAGACTGAGTCCTGACCTCAGTCCCAGCCTGGAGGTGACAAAAGTCACGGGGTGAGAGAGGGGGTGGCATTGTGCTGCCCTCTCCCATCAAGAAGCAGTTCAGAAGGAAGATTACAAACACAGACATGGAGCTAGGCTGCTTCAGTCCAACTTTCAGCTCCATCCCCTACCAGCTAGGTGAGCAGGTTCTTTGACTTCCAGTGCCTTGGGGTCCCATCTGTAAAATAGTGTTAACGATCTTTCTCACAGGGTTGTAACGAGGACTAGGGCACATGGTAAGTACCAGACTTCAGCCAGCTCTGTCATTATCATGGGTTCCAGCTCAGAGGCTGGCTTCCCAGATGCCCAGTACACCCAGAGCCTGGCCCCAGCTGGGTCTCCGCCCGCGAGAAGGCCTCAGCATGGTTGTGGTTATCGCCCTGCCTGAGGCTGATGGGGGTGGGGGGCAGCTCCCGGGTGACAGGACAGCAGGACAGCTGCTCCATTTCCTCCCGGAGGCATCAGCACCCCACCCCCGGCCAGCCGGGCCCATCCTGCTGGTCTCCCCCCACCCTCCAGGCTGGCCTGCCTGTCCGGCGCCCCTCCCAGGTCCAGGCTGGGCTCTGGTTCATCTCAGCGGCACCCGCCGCCTCATTAAGCCGCCTCGTAAACGGGCAGCCGGCGAGGGCGGAGGAGGGGGCCGCTCTGGGCCACGTCTGGCTTCAGGGCTTTTTTGGTCCCTGTTCCAATCCTCCCCCAAGAATACCGGAGTCGGGGCTACCTGACCGGACAGGCTGTGAGTATGCGCTCTCATGTGTGGGCAGCTGGGTCCAAGTGAAGCGGGAAGCCCCTCCAAGTCCCCTGGGTCTGTGGCCCTGAGGTGAGAGGCACTGGTAAAGGTCAGAGTCAGTGTGAGAGCCTTTCCAGGCCCAGACCTGGGCTCAATGAGTCTTACTACCAACCCTGGAAGGCCAGTAGGCCCCAGAGACCCTCCACTCTTGGAGCCGGGGCCCACTGCCTCCTCTGCAAAGAGCCCCTCTGGATGAGTAGCCCCAGCTCCTTCAGTTCCTTCTCCCTCTTGCTAGGATTCGCCCTCAGGCCTATCCTTAGATTCCGTCCCCAGACTTCTGCATCTGTCTTTCCCCAGAGGGAGAGAGCTAAGGGGAACAAATCAAATTACCACCTCCTTGGTGGGCTTATGGCGGGCACCATACCTCTAGGAATGTGGCCCAGGAGCCCAATGCTCTTCTAGTAGCCACATCTTCTAGGCCTGGGCCCTTCTTGCTAGGTTGTCACTGATCCCTTAATCCACCCCTTAAGAGAATGGCTCCTCAGCTGGCTGGCATCGGCCTCGCCTCAGAGTCCCCCATCGGGTCTGCTGCAGCAGATGTCAGACAAGCCCTCCCGGCCTGCCTGCTGAGTTAGGGCCAGAGCAGGAGATGCAAGGAACTCATGCTGGGTTCCAGTACTCGCCTCCCCCTTGTCCATACCCTGCCAGATCTCATGGTGCCTGTTCTTGTGCAGTTCCTGGCCTGCATCACTCATTTCCTCCTGAAAATCCAAGGGATGTTTTTCTCTGCTCTCCCCTCTGCACGCCCTCCCAATCATACACCTGCCTCTCTCCAAGATTAAGGAGCAGGGAGAAGAGATTCTGTTCAGAGCAAAACTCAAGTTCAAAAGAGCCATAAATCTAGCCAACTGCAATGCCAATGAGACACAGAATGGGGCTAGCAAGTGACACAGGCCACGTGTGGTCTCGCCATGGAGCCTGCATATTTCGCTCTGCCCACGTCAGTGTGGGGGTCAGTTCTGCCCACGGTGCAGGCCGGTACATGGTCTCGAGATGTTAGTCACATGCATGGACAGAGCATGGCTCCTGCTGGGGACCACGTGTGTGCATGCATGTTCCCGCGTGTGTGGTGGGCAGTGTGCCAGGTCCACTGCAAGGCGTGTGCGCTGCGATGCGCGGGGCTGCTGCCTGTAGCTCGTTAGCAGGGGAGGGGGGCTTGTGAAACTAGACCCTGGTTATTAGCAATGCATTAGTCGCGGGCAGCTGGCCAGGCGGGAGGGACTCCGGACTCTGTCAGGGAACATGTGAGCATGTGAGCAGCCTTTGTGGGGGCTAGGCCTGCAACCTGGACAGGCTCCTGGAATCAAATTACGCACTTTAAAGGCCAGCTGGGAGGGGGACATAAGGAGATGGGGCTATGGCCTGGTGGATGCGGTGGGGGTACAGGTTGACCCCCAGGTGCCAGCCTGGGTTGCCCCATGGAGCTCCCTCCTGGGCCACTCCTGGCCCACAGACCTCCTGGGCCACGCAGAGCACCCAGAACCCTATGGGCCCACGGTTCTCAAGGAGAGAAACTCAAGTATGCCCCAACCCCCTGGCCTCCAGAGGCCTCTCCTGTAGCTTGATCAACATCCCAGACCACAGCCTGACCCCAGACTGCCCTCTGTCCACTACTTGGTTCTCAGCCCCGGCTACTTTCTGACCCGTAACCTTATGCTGACCTCTAAGCTAGATCTGACTTTGGAGCCCTATACACTACTGTGGCCTGAACTCACACCCGGGACCAAGCTTGACTCCATTGCCTGATCCCTTGAGCCCATCTGCGAGTCCTGCCCCTTGGGTCCAGCACAGGCCCAGAGCCTGGGCCAGAGTGTGAGGAAGATGCCTGATCAGGGCTGAAAGCCAGAGGAAAGGGAAACACTGCCTTCCCTGCCTGCCATCTCCCTTCCAGCATTTCTCTCCACTACCCCAGGAGTCACAAAGACAGATGTGTTCCCATTGCACTAGGGGGTCAGTGGGAACCCCTAACGGCCTTAGATCAGGACACTTCCCTCAGCCCCATCCATCCTCCCGGCCCACCTGGTACCCTCTCCCCTCGGAAAGCCTCTTTGACGGCCCTCAGGCTTCACACTGGAACAGCTGTCGGTGGGGACCTGTCCCTCCCATGCCATGCTGCTCTGATTCAGGCACTCGGGATCTGGGTAGGGCACTCACATGCTGCCACTGGTCCAGGATGAGGGGTCGGTAGCGCAGGAAGAACTTGAGAGGAAAGGACTCAGGGTCGGGCCAGGTCGAGGGGGTCTGCCACGTCACCTCTAGCCGGCGAGGGTTGCTGGGCACTGGCCGGGCTACCACGTTTTCTGGAGGGTCAGGCTTCACTGTTCAGGAGACAGAGCTTCATTCCAACACTAATCTCTGGGAACAACCGCACTTCATCAACACCAGCCACCCTGTCCACCACCTCAGATTGTCACCTAGTGTCATCATCATGACAGTTGCCATCCTTCTTCTCTGTTGTCAGTCTTGGCAACCACCATTAACAACCATCTCATTATATCCACCTCTGACATTCCCGTCATCACCAATGACTGTTACTACAGTCACTGTCATCAGTTCATGATATCAGCAGCCCAAATTTCATCCCATCATCCCAACCCCATCCTCGTGATGGCCAGCATCCCAGTTACTAAGCGTATATGATGGCTCCACCATCATCCTCGTCGTCACCTGCATCAGCATCATACACTCCCCCTAAGCCTCGATTTTCACCTAAACTTTTCCAGTTCAAACTGAGACAAAGCCTCCATGGCAGAGTCTGGGTTTGAAGCTGCTCTGTGGGTCAAGGTTAAAAGACAGTCCATAGGTGTTGCAGATCTGGGTTGGAGACAGGCTGAGGGTCTGATGGGAGCATCTAAGGGCCCAGTTCATGTAGAAACAGTCTGGCTGGGGACCCAGCCCTGGGGTGGAGGCACAGGCAGAAGGTCTGGCTGGGATGGGGCAGGGGCAGGCAGGGGGTCTGCTGGGATGGGGCAGAGGGTCTGGCTGGGATGGGGCGGGGGCAGGCAGGGGTTCTTCTGGGATGGGGCAGGGGGAGGCAGGGAGTCTAATGGGATGGGGTGGGGGCAGGCAAGGGGTCTGCTGGGATGGGGCAGGGGCAGGCAGGGGGTCTGGCTGGGATGGGGCAGGGGCAGGCAGAGGGTCTGGCTGGGATAGGGCAGAGGCAGGCAGGGGCTCTGCTGGGATGTGGCAGGGGCAGGCAGGGGGTCTGGCTGGGATGGGGCAGGGGCAGGCAGGGGGTCTGGCTGGGATGGGGCAGGGGCAGGCAGAGGGTCTGGCTGGGATGGGGCAGGGGCAGGCAGAGGGTCTGGCTGGGAAGGGGGTGGGGGGAGGGCAGTATCTGTCCCAGTCCTGTCTCCTGTTCTGACACCTCATTCATCACAGGCCGTAAGGAAGCCATTAGCGTGGAGGGGTGGCGGCTGCAGCTGCACAAGGGTCTGGCCCAGCCTGCCCCCCTCCCCCTCCTGCATGCTCTGGGAGCCAGAGAGATGATGGGAAGAGCTGCTGGAGAGGTCTCTGGGCCCCTGCAGGTAAAGGACATTCACTTGCCTGTTTACAGGTACATACGTGCTATACATACATGTGCACAGGTACATACATGCCACATATACCTATGTACACATGTGAACGTCCTCACCAATGCTCATATCCTCTGGCACTCATCCACTTCCACCCTCACACTGGAATATGCAGCAGGCCGTCCTCCCCACCCCCCCACGCACCAATGGTGAACTCGTCGAAGGTGATGGCTGTGGCGTTGTGGCCCAGGGCATTGCTGACACTTATCGAGACCTTGTACTTGATGGTGGAGAACAGGTGCATGTAGCGGATGTGGCAGCGGTTCTTGAGGGCTGGGTCCTTCTCACAGACCATAATTTTGGAGCCATGCCTGGGGAAGGGTGAGGCCCAGGCACTGTTATCAACATCAAGGGTCAGGTGGGGCAGAGGCTGGGGGAAGGTTACATCCAAGGCTGGGCTAGGGTGTGGACTGAGGGCATGGTGGCGGGGGCCATGGGAGAGGTCAGAGGTCAGGGTTGGAACCCGGTCGCAGGCGAGTCTACTCACAGCACAGTCACATTGAAGGTGTTGGGGATGTAGGTGGGGGTGGGCAGGTGCCAGCTGCAGTAGAAGCCCTTGGGGTAAGTGTTGGAGCGGCAGCTGAGCACGGGCTCCCGCGGCGGCACTGGGAGTGAGGACAGCACAGTCAGGGCATTCTTGGAGCCCTCAGTCCCCTGCACTAGTGTGGGGACAGGTGGGCCCCAGAACCCCAGTTCTCCCCCTTCAACCCATCAGCAATGCCAGAGGTGGGGGGGGGGTGCTGTCAGCGAGGGTCTGAGGCTTCCCAGGCCACAGAGAGCCAGATGTTTAATTAAAGAAAAACAAGGGCTGTATGCAGAGGGAGTCCCCCCCACCTGCTCGGTGGAGGCGGGAATCGTGGGGAGCAGGGGCGGTGGGGCTCAGCTCATCAGTCACGGGATGGAGGCGATGTCCAGTGGTACTGGCCCCGCCCCACAGCTCCTGCCACACTGTGTCCATTCCCAGAGGAAGATTGTGCAGCCGAGGCTGAGGGGTTGCTGGGGTGATCAGGGTGCACTCCCCCGAGAAGAGACATCCCAGGCGTCTCAGTGGAGACTGAGAAACACAAGGACAGGTCTGGTGGCTCCACAGGCACAACAGCACTGGGCAGTTGCTCACACGTGTGCATGTGTAGGTGTCTGTGTGCATGGGTGAGCATGTTACATGTGTGTCTGTGTGAGACACGAGTGAGTGACCTGTGATGGAACGTGGGCACAGATGGAGGAGTGTCTGTCTACGTGCACAGCTCTCAGAGTGCGTGTCTATGGATGATGTGTGTGCGCACGTGCCTGTGGAGAGGAAGCTGCTGTTCCCTTGCTGTTCCCCTCCCCACAGCCCCATCCCCCAGCCTCTCCATCACAAACCTTTTAAGAAGCCCTTTACTTGGTCAGCAGCTGCCTTCACTCTGGAAAGGGGACGCCCAGAGGGATGGGGACCTGCCTGGGGTCACAGAGCAAGCCAGAGCTGGGCTAAACCCCAGGATGGGATACCCACTTACATAACCACACACACAGCAGGACTTGGGAAGTCCTTTCTGCTGTCTAACCACACTCTTTTTGCTGCTGTGAGCACTTAGCCCAGCTGTCCCATCCTCAGGCATTGGGTAAGGCGTGAGGACAGCCGGCTCAGGTTCCTGGAAGGAGGCAGCTTCTGTGATCCGACCCAGGCAAGGAATGTCCGTCCGTGGCTCCAGGGACACTGACACCTCCCTCCCGTGCCCTCCCCCCACCCCCTGCCTGACAGGTGGACAGGAAATGGGAGGGGGGCAGCTCAATAAGCCAGGGACGGCGAAGGGGAGTGCATGTCTATGCTTGCCGAGTGGCCATGCTGACACATGGGGAGCTGTGGGCTTTCATCCACAGTGTGCACGTGATTCTGAGTGACGCTGTGATTGTGTGTGCATGTTCAGTATTCATGGAGCGGCAGAGGGGCCCGGGGCAGAACCCCCAGGGCCCGATCTGGATTTGCAGCCGCTGAGATGAGGGAGTCAGAGAGGCATCACGGAAACTTGGGTGTAGCAGGTGGAGTGGGTCGTGCTGTGAGCAGAGGCGGCCCCGCACCCCAGGTCTGCAGGGGAGAGCCAGCACCCAGCTGAGCCCCTACCAGGGGCAACCTGCCTTCTGCCCGCTGCTGTGTGCCTCCCCTGGGAAGCCTTCCTGGCTCCGTGTCCATCCTGTGTCTGCTCCATGTTCATCCTGTGTGCCTTTCCCATCCCTTCCCTATCTGTCCAGGGGCGCAGAGGTGTGGGGGTGGGGTGGGGGGTGGCCAAGGACACACAGGAAGTGCCTTGTGGGGGCCTGTGGGCCAGGCCAGAGTTGGCAGCCACCCCAGGAGGAAAGGACATTCCGAGGTCGGCCGAGAAGCCTCCACTCCCCCCTCCTGCCGCCACCCCCCCTCACCCCCAGCTTCAAAGGAGAAGGGCGCTGGGGGGGCGGGACTGAAGCCTGCAGAGTCAGCTCCCTGCCGCCTGGGACCTGGGAGGGCAGAGCAGGCCATGGCACTGGGCTGCAGGCCCCCTCCCCCGGCCAGCCTCCCCACTACCACTCTCCTCCGTTCCCCTCTGCCTGTTCCCCCTCAGACCAGCCTCCCCCTCAACCAGTTCCCCACTCTGACTGGGCAGGTCATGGGGGGCCGGGGGGCCAGGCCGGGCTTTGTCTGTCATCTGGCTACTCCTGCCTGGCCCTGGGCCCTGAGCAGGGAAGGGCTTGGGTTTCCTGACAGGGACCAGGTTTCTCAGAGGGAAAAGGAGGAAAGAAAAACAAAGAAAAGGAAGAAAAGGAGTGACTTGCTGCAGCTGGAGCCCAGCTGAGGGGCCGGGTGGGCGGAGGTGGGGGTGCTGGGAGACCGAGCGCGAGGCTGTGGGACAGTGCGATCGGGCCGTTGTGAGCGTGCTGTGAGTTGGGGGAGAAGCTGTTTTTAAGAGATTGCAATTGTGAGGCTGTGTGTGTAACTCTGAGAGGCTTCGTGTGTGTGACAGACTCGGGGCCGCCGTGTGACTGTGCAATTGGCTGCGTGTGACTGGATGATGGGGTTTGTGTGTGACTCAGGGCGAGGCTGTGGGATTTCGAGATCGTCTGTATGTGTGAGGCCGTGTGGCTGAGGCGCTCTGTGAGAACATGCGTAGACGCGCCATTGTGTCTGAAACCAGTGACAGCAAGATGACATACCTGAAACACTGTATCTGAAACGGAGCTTCAGCCTGAATGTATTTTCAAACTGTGGGTGTGGGAAGATGCCCAGAATTCCAAGTGTGTTTGCATGTATGAGCTGAACACCGTCTAAGAACATGTTAGAGGCTGTGTGTAAGCAAAAGCTTGTATGCACACGTGTCATAATATCACACTCTGGGCAGACAGGCTAGCTCCTGGATGCCCAGGCAGCCTGAGTTGCCCCTTGTGGGGGCTCCTGAGATGCCCGAATGACTGCATCAGCCTGTGGCAGGGTGTCCCTGGGTCCCATGCGGGGCCGCGTGTGCGTGTGTATGCGTGCGTGTGCCCCCGCTGGCCCAGGGTTTGTTTGTTTTCCTCCTAATTGGCTTGTTTTTCCATGTCCAGCCCACCAAACCGCATGTTTTTCCTCTCATCTCGCCAGCCCGCCTGGGCTGGAGCCCCCGGCACGCACGAGGCCTGCCCGCCGGCCCAGAGAGGAGGAGGGCAGGCTGCCCACACCCCTGGCCAGGCCAGAGCAGGCCGGGTGGGGCAGGGTGACCCTTCCAGCTCCAGCCCTGCCCGGGCCCCACCCACACTCCTCCTCCTGCCTGGTATTCGGGGCCCATGGCCTGCCCCAACTTTATCTCATGACACCCCTCGGGGCACCCCATCTCCTGACTCCCAAATCCTCCTCCTGCCTCCCACCCGTCACTGCTTCACAGGCGGCATCTTCTTCAACCACAGGCTGCTCTTTCCTTCCCAGCAAACAGAGCTGAGGGTGAAGCAGTGCTGAACCAGGGGGTCTAGAGTTCCCATCCTGACCAATCAAAGATTTTAAAACTGGGCAAGGAACTGTCCGTTTAAAATTAGTCAATTAATCTCTGGTTTGTTTTAGCTTAAAATCAGAATGACAGTGAATCATCAGTGTCTAGTAAACAAGGCTGCTCCTAAAGGAACCCTGTGGTCCTGTTTCCTAATGTGGGGGGTCCTTCCCCCATCCTGGGGAGGGGGCTCCTTAGAGCTGCTTGTGAGCATCCACCAGAGGGCAGGCAGGTGGCTCAGGAGAAAGCAGTCAGGGATCTGCCTGGTTCCGGAGACTTTCAACAGAATATTTTTATGATCAGGTTCCCTTGGAAATAGAGACATGAAAATCTTCTATGTTTAGGATAAATATTAAATAATGTTTGGTTTGAAAGACCCACAAATCAGGGGTAACTCTGTCCTGTTCTCTGAGAGCTGGCGAGAAGGATAATTTGATATTGAGTGTTGCCAAACCCAGTCTCTTGTTACTAATATAAAGTGACTGAGACAATCATGATTAATGTCCCCTGTTCCTCTGGCCAGCTCTTTAGAAGGAAATAAGGCCATGAGAGATAAGTACCTCTACAGCGAATTCACGGCCAGCTCTCCTCTGACAGTCAGGGCCTGGGGAGGGGTCAGCACTGGATATGAAAGGTCTGGGCCCTGGTCACAGTGTCCTGCGGGTATGGACTACAGACATTACTTCCAGACGCAATTCCCCTCCAATGACCTCTCAAAAGATCAGGTCATCAGGATCACCAAGACCCAGCCATTACAGCCAGTCCTGTCCATCCTGAGGGCTTCTGGGACTCAAACTGAGAAGACAGGGGTGTGGGTGACTTGTACCAAGTTGGCCTCATTCTTCTTCCATGGCACTCAGTGGATGGCCTCTCTCCCCGTGTGAGGGCCCAGGGCTTGGCTCCACTCCTGATGGACCCTGTGGTGGCCCAGGAAGGACTCCAGTAGGCTGGTCCTGCATTTCTCAAGCTGGCCGACAGGGGGGCACTCCACCCGTGGCCAGCAACTAAGACGTTTGGTAATAGCACCATCTCTCCAGTTTAAACACACAAAAGGCTCTTCTGTGGGGACAGAATATCCCCACCAAAAAATATTTTCACTTTTCCCCTATCCCCGCCGGTGGGTCAGTGTTTTTGTGGAGGACCCTGAGCAACCCTTCAGCCTAACATTTCCCAAGGCGGTCACAGATCTCCTGACGATGGGGAAAGGGCCAGCTCCCGGGTCCCTCAGGTGTGTCCTCCCTTCAGTAGCTCCTAGGGAGTAAAGGAACCATCTTCGGACAGTGGGGTGCATGACTCAAATGGGGTGAGGCCAGAGAAGCTTGAATCTTTGGCTCAAGGAGAAAAGAAATGGAACTGTTTTCAGAGTGTTTATTCTGTTGGTGGGTGCCTCTGGCTGAGGTCTGGGTGCCTGCCCAGCTGACCCACAGCAACACTGATAACCTCATCATTCAGACTCTTCCAGCCCCTCTTCCGAATCACACTCCCCTGTTCTTCCCTCTACGTTCCTGCTGGCTCCTTCTTATGGCTCATTTCTCTCCATCAACCCCTTACACAGTGATGGTCCTCAGGGCTCAGTGCTGGGTCCTCGTCTCTCCTCATCTCACAATCCCTCCCTTGGCCATTGCACCCCCTCACATGGCCTTGATGCTGACAAACCCCCAAACTCCCATTGCCAGCACAGGCCTCTCCCTGAGTCCCAGGCCCTCAGATCACTGGCTACAAGCCATCAACCCTCAGTTGTCCCCCGAGGACCACAACCCAACATGTCCTGGCAGATGTCTGTGGTGCCGCAGGTCCTTTGCGGTACCCGCTGCCGCTTTGGCAGTTATTTGTCTAAGAGCTTTCTGTGGCCACCAAAGCCTGCACCGCCTGCGAGGCATCGGGCCAAAAGTGCTGGGGAATAAACCATCCCCACCCCCACCCCAGGAGACTGCAACCAAGGGTGGGCGGGAGTCAGTGGACCAGCACCTGAGCTCCTCAGGCAGGAGAAGCCCCAGGTGCACATTTTGCCTGGGCTCCCAGGGTTCCCCCAGTGGGTTGAGCGCCAGATGCCCAGAGGCAACGGCTGCAGAACTCCCCTTATTGGCTAACTTCCTTTTTCTGGATAACTTCCTTTTTCTGTCTCTTTCCCATCCCCTTATGGTGTTCCCATCACCTGCCAAATAAACTACTTGCATACAAATTCTCATCTCAGGATCTGATTCTAGGGAAACCCAAATGGAACACACTATCTTCTCCTCCCACAGGAACACACTCTCCTCTCCTCCAGGGCCCCCCGCCTGGTCTCTGCTGCGGTGACAGGAACCGCCAGCCCTCTTGACTCCTCCTGCTCTCTGCTCTCCTGTGTTCCCTGCCTCCAATCCATCACCAGCTCCTGGAGGTCCGACCGCCCCCTCTCAACTTCTCCAACTCTGTGCCTTGGTTCCCGGTCTCCATCATTTCTCCTGCATCCCACCAACAGTCTCCTTCCTGTCCTGGCTTTGCTCCGTCCACCCTGCATCTCCTCACCGTAGTGAGAGGGATCTTTTAAGAACATGACCCTAATCATGATCTGCCCTATCCTCTCCTTTAGCTCCCTTCCCCACTTTACACGAACCCAAGTGGCCTTTTCATGTCCTCCCAGCCTCTGAGGCCTGCAGTCACACTCAGCTCTGTGCCAGAAATGACTTTTTCAATGTGTCTTCCAAATCCTTCAAGTCTTCATGTGCCTCCCACTCCATGCAGCCTTCCTTCTTCCCTGGGGCCTCCCAGAGTGCCCATTCCCACACCCACATAACCGGATATCCCACTTTCCTCCCTAAGGCCCTCAGGGCCAGGCCCCGTGGGAGCACACAGCGGAGTGGGGCCACTGCAGCTCGGAGCTGTGGCCTGAGGATTCCTCCACACCAGGCCCCAGATGGGCCATGCCCTGTCAGCCGTCCTCTGCCTATCTTGTCACAGGGAACAGGATTTCAGGATCTCAAAGACCTCGGGTGGGGAGTGGGATACATGTGCCAAACGCCCAGGGGTCTGGACTCAGTGGGCACGACTGGGCTCAGAGGTCAGAAGAGCAGGCAAGGATAGGATCAGAGAGCAAGGGTCAGGGTGCTACAGCCCTTCCCTCACCCCAACAGGAAGGGGACCTAATCTGGGACAAGGGTCTGAGCCTCACTGACAACCCCCTTGAGTGGGGAGGTCGGATGAAGGGATGGGAGCAACACTTACAGCCCACATGTAGGAGGACTTGGTGGCGCAGGTGCCAGGAGTCACGGTGAAAGCAGGCGTAGAGGCCGCTGTGGCCCAGTTCCAGGCCACGGAGCACGAGCTGAGAGCCGTTGAGCAGGTCAGGGGCCAGGTCAGTCCCATTCACCCGCCACGTCACAGCTGCGTCCCAGTTTGCTGTCCCACACGGCAGGGTCACATCTGAGCCCAGACGCTCGTACTGCACATGGGGTGCCTCTGTGGGGGTGGGGTGGGCACAGGGCAAAAGTTACGGGTCACAACTCTGTCCAGCACCTCCCAGGTGAATGTGCAGGAATGACAGCCTGTGAATGTCACACGTGAGGAGTCCAGGCTGAGAGTCTCCGTGTCTGACAGTGTGCATCTTGGGGAGATAAGGAGTGTGCAAAATTTCTCTGTGGCTGTGTACGTGTACAGGTATGTGAGTGTCTCCAGTCTGTATGTGTGTGCATGTCTGGGGACTGTGTGTGTGAGAGTTTGTGCAGAGTGCTGGGAGCGGTTAGAGCTGGGTGAAAACCCAGTTCACCTCCAACCCCTAGGTCCTTTAAAGTTTTCCTGACCTCTATGACCCTAACCTCTTGCCCCCAACCCCCCAACAGGCCGGGCCCCAATCACTGATAGCTGCTCCCCAGGCAAGCTGGAGCTGAGAGGCTCCACTTCTGGACCCATTCTCTGTCTCTCCCCAACTCCTTCTATTCTCCATCCTTGTCTTTTTCTGTCCTTCCTCGCTCCGTCTCCCCAGCTCGGGCCCCCTGACAAGCCCCCCTCCCCAGCCACCCAGGGCTTGGGCAGCAGCAGGAGAAGGGAGAACGGGCAGGGTCGAGGATGGGAGCCCTGGGGACCTCCTGGCAGCTGTCAACTTCTTGAGGCAGGAACTGCTTGGGGTGGGGGTGGGGAGTGCTGGGACCCAGGGAGCTCTCTGACCATTCCTCTCCTGCCCCCAGGAGGGGCCTGTCAGAGCCAAAAGCGAACCCCAGCCCTGGCCTCGGCAACCCAGGCGTGATGGACTGAGCCCAGGAGACCGGAGTGGAAGGGCGGGAAGGAGCACCTGTTGGGAGGCAGCACTAGATGGGGGAGGCGAGTGGAACAGAGAGAGTCCTAGATGCCAACTACAGAGGACAGCAGAGCAGCAGGCACGCAATGCCGGGAGATGCCGTCTCCTCGCCTCATCCTGCCCGCTAAGCCCGTGAGGACAGACGCCTCCCTGGTCCAGGGATCTGTGGAGTGAGGTGGGAGGGAAGGAGCAAGGGGGGCGGGGGCAGCAGTGGGGGGGCTGTGGGATCCCTCGTTAACACTCCCTCACATCTCCCCTCCAGAGAGCCACCCCGCTGAGGTGGGGGATTTTCAGAGGCAATTCCTGTTAACGAGCCAATTAAGTTGGGCCAGTGGCCTCTTAATTAGACTTGTTAACACCCTCAGGCCTGCAGGGGGTAGGGAGCCCCCTATGCCGCCCGCCCTCCTTCCCTCCACTTTCCCTCTGTCTCAGCACCCTCCCCAGTACTGCTTTTCTCTGCATGGGAACAGCTGTCCCTGTTTGCTGCCTCTGTCACCCTCCCTGCGCTGGGGTCTCTCCCCGGCCGCCTGTCTCTGTCTTGCCCCTCTCTGAGCCTCTCTGTCCCTGTCCGAGGAGAGGGAAGCAGGAAACCTGGCCAGCCCTGACCACTCATCTGTGGGGCCGGGGACCAGCCGAGCCGAGGATGAACGGGCGGAAGGGCGGCGGCTGGGGGCCTTGGAGGCCACAGCTGTGAGGCTGGACCAGAGACTGAATGGGGGCCTCCCCCTGACCAGAGGCCCAGTGTCCAAGGTTCAAGCCATAGAGCCCCCCCAATCCACGAGCCCTAGCCATTGAGCCCCCCTCCAGCCTCCCTTCCAAAAACCTGGAGCTTCCAGGAAACATGCCAAGCCCCTCTGCCTGCACCCCCCCACCCCCACCCCCAGCAGAGACTCTGCATCCAGCTGCCTGAGGAGGAGGTTGAAAACTGACCGTTGGGGAGGGGGTGTGGCCATCATGGTCCCAGCGGCAACACATCGACACTGACCAACAGCAGCTCAGAACGTACTCGGACCCAAGATGGTCCTTTAAGATGCGTGGCAGGTCTCACCACAAGACAAGGAAACAGCCGCCCAACAGCAGAAGAAACACAGTGGTGGCGGATTACACTTCCCCACGACGACACCTTGTCCGCCTCACAAAGGAAATGGAAACAACCTGACAACAGTGACAAACCAACGATGCGAGGGCAGGGCAGGCGTGAAAAAATGACGACACAATGACAGAAGACAACCACAGGCCACAACGCAGAGGCGGCGGGGGCAACATGACATGACAATCACAGTGTCACAACTGCTACACTAACACAACAATGGTAATACACACAGCCATGCAACAGCTCCAAAGATGGCAATGATTTAATCCTTTGTCTCTGGACAGCTCTCCTCCCGCCCCGTGGGTGCCCCTACTGATGTGCTGTCCATTTCAGAAATTAAATCAAGCAGCAGGGGGAGGATGGGGTTCTTGGCCCTGACGCGGTGACAAATGCGCTGAAGGAATCAGCTGTGAAAAGGTTGTTAGAAGCCAGGATGAGAGACAGAGACAGGATGAGGTCATGGACATGGAGAACGCAGAGGGACAGAGCCGATGGCTCCCTCACACCTGCGCACACGGGCTCACATGGGGACCACATACCGGAAGCAGTCCTCCCGGGCGTCCCAAGCAACTTCACATCACCAGACACAGAGGACGAGGACAGTCACCACAAAGAACAAGCACACTCAGGACAACCGTCCACAAGGTCACAGCCACACAAGGACACTGTCCCACTTCAGGGATGGTAACACTTGATACAAGATCACGTACATGCACGGGAAGGGCATTGCCACCCAGAGGCAGTTACAGGTGGGGACATGGTCTCACACTCAGGGAGACTTACACACGGGGACACAGTCTCACACTTAGGGAGACAGTTACACAAGGAGACACAAACACACAAAGAGACAGAAACAATCACACTCACTGGCGGGGTACAGTTTCAACCACAAGGAAGCAGCCCCACAAAGGGCATGGTCACACACAGACAATGTCACACACGGGGCACAGCCCACAAGGATACAACCACACAGAGAAACGCTCTCCAACAGGGACATGGTCACACCCACACAAGACCACAGCCTAACACACAAGGACAGTCTGACACACACTCTCAGAGATATGGCCTTATGCCAAGGCCTTGGTCACATGTGGCTCTGCCTCTACACACAGGGGAAGGGCCAGGCCAATGGGGGTGACCACTGGGAGGCCCGGGCAGGTGGGGTCAGCACAGGAGCCCAGGGCAGGCTGACTGCAGGCGAGGTCAATAGGCTGGCCTGGTGTTCCCTTCCGTCCACCCCTTCCCCCCTGAGGAGAGGCCAGTGAGGGTCAGGCTCTCCGGGTCCCAGTATTGGCCTCACAAGGAAGAGGCCACAGGAGCCTCAACCCCCCGCCCTCCTGAACCTACAGCCTGAGGGTGGCAGAACTTAACCATCAAGGTCTGCTCTGTGCCTGGGCCCCTGAGATGTCCCCACCCTCTCAGCCTCTACCCAACCCCACTGAGGTCAGGTGCAGGATCCATCAAAGGGGGAGCTCCCCACACTCAGAGCCTGTTGGAGAGCTTTTGAGGTCAGACCTCGTCCTGATGTAGCCATGTGAGGTGCTGCCTCAAAAGCAGTAGAAAGGCTGGTGGTGGACTTAAGAGGGCACCTGTTTCCCAGCAGAGGTGAGCTCATTGGCCTGTGGGCTGCAGGGAGGACTCAGCCCTCATGGGACAAGCGGTCGTGGAGGGCAGGAGGCTGCCAAGGCCCAGCCTGAGCAATCCCTGCCTCCTCCAACCACTCCGGCTGCCAGACCTTGCCCCTGCTTCAGTGTGCCAGCCCTCTCCTACTGCTCACCCTGCCTGGCCCCACACCTTGTTCCCAGTCTACCGTCTCTGTCCCCATCTTCCCTCTAGGATGAGGGGAAGTAGTCTTGCCCACTGTCTCTCTCAGTGCCCCTCACAAACCCCCACGAGCCCCCAGAGGACACCATTTCACCAGATACTGTCCAAGGTCCCTGCCCTAGCCATCCCCAACTCCCATCCCACCTGCCTGTACCCTACATCCACCCTAGTGGGCAGAGGAACAGATATCTCAGGCCAGAGATACCATCACCATGAGACCACCTAGGAGTGACTGGAGGACTGTGTCTATGAGACTTCAGTGGGTCACCTTGCATATCAGTGTCATATGACTCACGTCCCTCATGTGATGATGCCAGCATGTGCCACTGTGTGGCTCTTGGGTGGGTACATACAGCTGTGCCAAGGAGGGTTCATTCTCAGCTCTAGGAGGGGGTCAGCAGGGAGCCCCCCAACCCAGCACTTACCCTGCGGACTGTGTCTCTGGGTGTACACAACAGCAGCGGCGGCAGCAAGCACAGCACAACAGGCCCAAGGGACAGGAGCGGCCATCTGTTGGGAGAAACGGGTGGCAGGAGAAGGGGCAGCATCAGCCCAGGCAGGAACTTCCTGGAGAGCCCCCCCTGCTCTCAGGCAGGACTGGGAAATCCCAGCCCTACAGCCAGGGCACCTTGAGACAAATGCCCTTCTTAATGGGGCTCAGGATCCTCTTTCAAGCAACAGAAAGCAACATTATGGGCAACCGTAGGTAAAGGTTTGCTAAGACGGCAGAAGGCAACCTACAGTGGTTTGCTGTTCGATAAGGCTGCTGGCTGCAGGATGCAGTCCGCCACGGATGAGTTATAGAACATTGGTAATGCCAGGGCCATTCTTCTAAAAAATAATAACTTCACTGGTGAGGTTGGCTAATTAGCTACAAACATCACAAACTGAAAGGGTAATGTTTTAACTTAATTGGACGTCTGTGCTTCTCCAAATTGCCTTGAATAGAAAGCCCCCTGCCATGTTCCTGGGGAGAAAGCCCAAAACCTGGATGCTCAGGAGCCCCTCAGATCTGCACTCCCCTCCCGGTGGGCCTTGCCACTGGGTTGTGGGAAGTTCAGAACCGCAGTGGAGCAGGACAGGGGTATGTTGTGACCGAGGTCAGATGTGGCTCTTGCTTCAGTGTACACCAATAACCAAGAGAAGAAGGAGGGAGTTTCACAAAGAGGTCCTCGTCAGGGGTCCCAGCCCATACATTGCCGCAGCCATATGGGGGCCCTAGCCCAGCAGATGGGCATCACTGTCTATTCGCACCCATGTGGGTAGACAAAGCACACTCAGGATGTGTCCCCAGGAGCCAGGATGGATCCAGTGGCCCCCCCTCCCTGTTATCCTGCTTCCTGGGATGGGTCCAGCTGCCTCCTATTCTCCCCCAGCACACGCTTACACCTGAGGGCAGAGAAATAACTATTTCCTGCTGAAAAGGCTCCAAATCTGACCCTCTCACCCCAGTCTGAGAGAGGGGGACTGTCAACCAACAGAAGCAGAGGCCCAGAGACAGATATGGCCAGACACTCAACCAGGGCCACCATCAGAGATGACACTGGCCAGACACTGCCCAAAACAACCAGACAGAACCCCAAAGAAACAGCTCCGAACACGGTGGAGATATCCTGGAGAGACTGTGAGGCACAATCATACAAAGCCAGAGAAACAGGTAGACATAACCAGATAACCAGCCAGAGACCTGGTCAGAGAACAGCCAACACACAACCAAAGGACCCGCCAGAAACCTGTAAAAGACTAGGCCAGATGCAAGCAGACATATCACCAGAAAGAGCATGAAGCACAGGCAGAGAAACCATTAGTGACATAGCCAGAGAGCTAGAGACACTGTCAGAAACCATGCCAGAGAAACTGCCTGACGCACAGGCAGAGAAATACCAGAGAAACTGATAGACACAAACAGGCGCACACCCAGAAAAACAGCTAGAGAGAGCCAGAGACACAGCCAGATGCTCAGTCAGGAAGTATCTACACCACTGAAAACACTGCCAGGGACACTCAGACACACAGTCGGACATGCTGCCAGACACAGCCAGAGACACTGTCAGAAACACTGCCAGAGAAACAGCCAGAGACACTGCAGACAGAGCTACAGCAGGGGGAGACAAATGCGGGGGTCAGCCTGTAGCAGCGGGGGGGGGGGGGGGGGGGTAGTTGGAGAGAATCTGACTTCCAGGGGCTCCTCTATGGGAGAGGGCGCCTGCCTGACTGTTGCTGTGCTCGCCTCTCGCCAGGCAAGCCCCTCATCTGCACCTGGCTTTCCTCCAGCCACAGCTGCAGGTGCTGCGACTGCCCCTCCCTGGCACAGCCCCTCTCCAGGCCCCATGCGGCTGTGGCTACCCCTCCCACGTCAGTGACTCCTGGGGCCTTAGCTACCACTTGGCCTGGCTCCTGACCCTCAGCCACGCCCCCTTCGTCAGCTACTTCTCAGGCCTAGGAGGTTACAACAATGGCTAAAGGCACAGGCAGCAGGCAGTGGGGCCCCGAAAGGAACCCGGGGCTGTCTGAATTCAGAGCTGGTGCTGGGGAGAGCGACAAGAGGCTGGATGCCTACCTGGTTCCCCATCTCAACCTTGCAGGTAGCCCACAGACTCTCCCCCTCCATCTCTGCCATCTGCCCATGCCTTTCTCCTCACAGCCAGGAAGATATGCCGCCTTAGTGCCAGGCCCAGTGCCCACCACGTGGGAGCAGGAACCAGGGCAGGGGGAGGCAGATGGGCAGGCAGAGTAGACGGAGCTTAGACCACAGGACGGCAGAAGAGGGAGAGAGTGGCCTTCTGCTCCCAGCTCCTTCCTGGTCCCTGTTGGGGAGTGAGGGCAAGGAGACAGCCTGGCATGGGTGTACATGCGTATAAGCAAACACACACACACACACTCTTGGGCCCCTGCTGGGGGAGGGGTGGCTTCCTCATCAAAGTCGCCTCCATCAGCCCGATGAGTTACTGTAAGGGCCGGGCCCTGGGCCAACGGGGCTGCAGCCATGGGAGACGGGCGCTGCTGAGAGCAAGTGCTGCAGAGAGTGGGGGATGGGGTACCAAGACAGACACTGCATGGCTCACAGCACCCAGCAAAGAGAGAGACCCCAGGAGTGGGGAACAGGCAAGGAAGGGAGGGGAAGCCATGAGCAGAGACCCAGAGGGACGAGAAGAGACCCAGATGGGGGAAATGGAAGAGCCGTGGGAAGGGAGCTGGGGAGCACAGGAGATGGGCAGAGGTTCAATGGTAGAAGGAGAGACAGACCCAGAGAGAACAACAGACACACTGGCAGGGTCTCTGTGCCCACCCCAGAGCATCTCTCTAAGCCCACTCATCTCCTCCAGTGCGAGGGGAGGACAGTGTCGGTGCGGCAGCACTCGCTGATGATCTGAGACAAGAGCAGGGCCTTCCTGGGGGCTGTGGGACTTCTGCCTGCACAGCCAGGAGCACTGGGGATAAGGGTGGACTAAAACCCCACCCACCGCTGTCCCTGCAGATCCAGAAAGCCCCAGGCCAATTTCACTTCCCTCTTCCCTCACTGTCCCAGCTGGGCCTGTTCCCAGGTAGGGAAGCTAAGGCCAGAGGCATGCAGGCTCCACTTCCGCCTGGCCCTAGCTCACCTCAGGCCACCCATCCCAGGGCAAAGAGCATCTTCCCCAGGAATTTTCCGAATCCACACCCCATGGCTCTTGAATAGATCTGGAGCATAAATCCCATAAAGCCCCAGAGAAAGGCTATGCAAACTGGCCCAGGCTCTCTGTAGACCCTCCAGGGGCCAACCTGGCCTCCAGCCCCGGGCCCAGAATGAGGGAACAGAGGGCACCCCACCAGCAAGAAAACAGCACGGCACCAAGCAGCCCAAACCCCGTCAGCACAAGCAGCCCAGCACCTCTCCTGACGCAGAGCCCCACAACACACACAGAGTGACACGTCAAGAGACAAATCCGGGGCCCTCAACCTACTGTCACTGTCCCACTGGGACACGGAGACACCATTACACAGTGACAACGCCCAGTGAAAATGACAACAGTTGCACAGCTGACAATGACATACAGGGTGTTGACAGTCACTACAGTAACAATGATGTAGTGAGTGACAGTCACATACAATGACACCAACAGGGCAATGACACCTGTTGACACTGACACACTCACAGTGACAGTAACCTCAGAATTGAAGAGGCAATGAGACCGACAGTCAGAGAAAGTAACACTGATGGTGACATCCACGGTGACACAGAGATGTTGACGGTCAACCTCAGTAACATGGACTGTCACAGAATGACACCAGTCCACAGTAACACTGGCACCATGGAGGTTGAGAGTCACCAGCAATGACACCAACAGACACAGTGACAGACTCCAGATCAGGGACCTCAAAGACCCCATTTCTGAGTCTGGTTTAGGATCCAGGGCCCAAGACCCCTCTGGCCAGCCCCAGCAAGGTCCCAAGTGACCTGCGCCCCCTCCCTCACCCCTCCCCAGCTGACGACAGAACCTGAGGGAGGGCAGGTGGGAGTTCTGGAGAGCCCTTATTCATCCCTGCAGAAGGAGAAGGTGGTTTAGGTGACACAAGCCCAACCCTGAGGAACCCCTGCCACATGCAGGGTGGGGGGTTCCAAGCGCCACTGACTGGGGCCCAGCCCTGAGTGTCCGTGGTGATGGGCAGCAGCGTGCTCTGAGCTTTAGGGTGTTGGCTGGTGTGGGTACACTGAGGGTCAGGAAGGCTCAATCGAGCCTGACCATGAATGAGTGGGCAGGCCCCATGTAGTGCCTCCGAAAACTGCAATCCAAGGAAAGTGACTGGCCTGGACTCCCCTCATGGCTCGGGATGAGGTCAGGAACATACATCTGATGGAGGCATCTGACCAGTGCAGGGCCAGAGTGACATCGCCATGGCTTCCAGTCCCCCTCAGACCTCAGAATCCCTCATTGTGCAGGACAAGCACTCTTGGTTCTGGGGACCGTCCCTTCCCCTCTCCCCACAGCGGCCCTGGAGGACCCATCCTGGGAACAAGACAAGAACACAGGACAGGACACGCATGGACTAACACAGAACAGGACACGCATGCAAAGGCCTGGGGAACACAGAGGCCTCAGACCTGCAGAGGGTTAGGGTAGAGCGAGAAAAAACACCTACCCTTGGAGATGGAGAGAGAAAATGAGAGACAGCAGGGGCAGGGCCAGGGACAAGGACGTAGTGGGCAGGGAGGAACAGCCCCGGCCGAGGGGGAGCCTGGGAGAGATAGTCAGGGCGGGCGGGAAGCTCCAGGAGGGGGAGGAGGGGCTGAGGCCGGGAGGCCCCCAGATCCCACCAGGCCTAGGCAGCCTGGACAGCGTGGGCGGTGGGGGCGGGGGCAGAGGCCTGAGCGGTCCAGAGGCTGGGGGGGCAGGCTGAGGAGGGAGGCCTGGCCCCTGGCAGCTGGCCCGGCAGGCCCCCCACCAGCGAGGGGGCGGGCCCGGGTCAGAGGCCAGCTCCTGGGCTGGGGCCGGCTGGCCATGGAGCGGACTCCCACTCCCTGTGGCGTC